CAATGGAGCACCTTGGCTGTGTACTGCATCAGCAAATATTTGTAAATTGGAGGGAGAAAGCCAGGGTTGATTTAAAGAAGACAACAAATGTCCCCATCGCTCATATGTGAAGTTGATAACTTCGTTTGTTATCATGCATAGCTGTGGAATGGGTCTTCCAAATGTTGGCACCAGATCTGCAAAGCGGCAAGGATAAGCAAACCTCATCAAAAATATACAAAGCGCCTCAATGCCGTCGACTTGAACACCATTATAACAAGTTACCTCTAGAGGTAGCTGCATTACGTCGCGTAGGTGGTATATATCGTTGCGATAAAATCGAAAATTGTTTTGCACTCATCGTCAGAAAACTTGTGAATGGAAAACTTGTCGTACTTTCTGTAACACATATTCGGGTTTTTTGGTTTATATATTTCGTATAGCAACATGCAGTCATCTACACCAAGAAAACCATCACCATGAGAAAGTAACAGAGCGTCTCTGATGCACGGCATCATGGAAAATATATAAATATGGAAGCTAGCTGTTTAGCGAAAGCTTTTATCAACATAAAGATTTCCCGCGCTTTTACGAACGTCGCCTTATCGTAAGGACAAATTAGCTACAACGAGAACGGCAACGGCAACTAGTCGATCCAGTCCCTTCAGAGTAGATTGAGGTTGCCGTCGCAGTTGCCGTTGTCGCATCGTAAGGTCCCTAATGTCTTAGGCGAATCGTCGTGTTTGCTAAATCACTCTAATAATTTCAAATTACGTTTTATTATATCAGTGAAGAAAGAAAACAAATCGGCATAGAAAAATAATCAGAAAGACGTTTTGATGAACAATAGTAAGTGGAAAACGGTATCATCAAACTCTACGAGATCTACATCATCAAAATATGCGAATTAAAATACCTCTGTTGTCATAAAGCGAAACAAAGTTTTCAACCAGTTCCTATGTGAACAACTTCAATATCGATGAATATGTTGAAGATATGAATACCCTTGTTCTTACTTTGTAGTGGAATAAGAAAACATTCGACAACATCGAAGGAAACCAACCATTCACATTGCATAGATTTGAAACAAGAACGAAAATAAGAAAAATATGTCAATAAATGTACTGGACGATACAAATGGGTGTTCAAATGACTATAAATATTTAAATGAATATAAATGTCAACAAAATTATCGAACCGTCGGATCAAGCAATCAAAAGACGGAACCAAAACAATCGGATCCGACAAATCGGAGAGCGTGAACTTGCCTTAAATAGAAAGAAAGCTCTAAACATGGCAAAATATATCTAGCAAATGCAATGTTAAAATTTAAATAGACCCACATGTAAAATTTCTTTTCTATCATTAAAATCACCCAATCATAACGTATAAAAGCACCTAGATTGCTGTATACGAAGAGGTGGTTCTAAGGAATGCGACTGTACCGTGTAATTTTTTGCTGACAAGGGGGACGGGGCAGCTCTTCTCCTTGCGATAGTAACTTATAGTTATAATTTTATAATGCCCCTTAATTTATTATAAGCCTGAACATGTGTCTGCTCGATTTGCAACAAATCAATGAACTCTACTCAAAGAGCAATAACATAAATATTCCATAATAACTTTTAACACCCATTTCCATTGTTTAATTTTGTAGTCGACAACAAATGTTGAAGGCAGTCAATCAGTGTCCATGATGTTAAAGTTTGAAAATAAACAAGACTTGGCCAGCAAAACAAGACTTGGCCAGCCTACTTTAAAAACTACAATGAAGTCAATCTTTCTTGATTCTTTGCTTGATAACAAGTTTATAGCAAATGCTTACTGCTAAGAGTTCTAGGCAGTGATCAACAGTATGTTTGGACAGTGTAGGACGAGCTGCTGTTGCCTTGTATAATAATAGGGAGCTTTAGTAAGAGTACGACTACGACAACGAGTACGAAGTTTGACCGTGCAAGGGAATGGCACGAGAAAGTTTGTTGTCGTTGTCGCTTCGTCAAAATCTTGTTTTAGCTGTAAAAAACAGAACGAGCCTTTTTTGTGAAAACCCCGAAATTTGCGAAGCAGCTACGGCTCTATTTGGCAATAATGATATCAAAGAATCGGCAATACTGGTTTTGCAAGAACATAGGACTCTTTAGAGTGAAAAATCTTCACTATTTTAAATTTGATGTACGATATATTTGTACTATTTTATTGTTTGTTTACCTTTCATTTTGTGTAAGAAATACATGAAAGTTTCGCAGGTTGTATTTTCGTTTTAAATGTACATATGCGCTCAAAAAAGGTTCTAAATTAAAGCCTTGATGCTCCAAAATAGTACTGTAAACTAATTTCTTACAGAATGAAGAAATATACCTACTTTCTTTGCTTAAAAAGACATCGTAGTCGCGACTACGAATTTTTTACAAAACATCGTACTCAGATTGATGACGGCTACGTGTTGTTGTTGTCGCAACAATGTTTTCGCGCCAAAATGACGTAATTCGTACTCGTAGTCTTTGCTAAAGCTCGCTAATACTTTGCAGTAAACGATTCAATGCATGATAAATCTTCTCGGCTGATTTCACAATATTCTTATTTAATAACTACGCAAAACATTTAAAATTTAAACAACCAGTTTGGCCTAACTTAGAATTTCAACAGGAATGACTAGTGGCGCTTAACAAATAGTTGTATTTTTAAGCTTGAAGTATTGCCTCCTAAAAGGAGGCAAAAATGTCTCGAATTTATTAAACGCCTCACTGAGTCCTGATTAACTAGCCACTAAGGGCTCTGCAATAAACTTATTGGAAGAAATAGATATTACTTAAAGGCCCGCAACTTTGTCTTAGCCTATACATGCCCCGTTACTACTAATATTTAACTGGGGAAAGCACAAAAATATTTTTATAGGTTGTAGGAACTTTTAGCAAGATTTGCAATAACAAAAAAAAATCAGAGATGTTTTCCAAAGAGATATTACTCAATGATCCTCCAAGAAATAAGGTACAAACATTTTGTTGCTGAAGAAAGTTTCTCAAGCCTCAACAAAACAAAAGTTGATACATTTTTTCAAATTAATTAAACAAATTATCATCGCCGTCGCTTTATATAATACAATAGAAACTGGCACTAGAAAGTATTTTGACGTCATTCAAGGTAGTCGGCATTCAGGTAAATTTTGCTTATACTAGCCCTTTTATTTAAAATATTCGAGGGGACAATGTCTTGCCAAGTGTTCAGTTGATTGGGACAGAACTTTATACCGGGGATACGTGAAAGAAAACTCGGAAAGCAATAAGAACGTGGGCGATAATGACTCGGCTTTGACCCCTAGGCATAAATGGTCAGAAAGACATAAGTTCCAATATCATCACTTTTAAGCCTAGGAAAATTAGCATTCTTTTGATTGAGCGAACTAGTAAATCGACGTTCAAAATCCTCTTGTCCGAAGTGAGCTGAACAAAGTGTTGAAACACTGGAAGGCTCAAATACGCGCCTTCTTGAATTATGAAATCATCCCAGATTTTCTGTCTCCACTTAGTCTTGGGCCTTTTATCATAATAAAAAGGTATGGTGTGATGAGTTATACCAGAACTAAGGCTTTATTTATTCGTACAATTAGCTGCAACGCGACTATTTACCATTTTCTGCTCTTACTAGTGCAAAGACAATGCGTTTAGGTGCTTATATAGACGCTTATAGACACTGTGCCTCGGCAGTGATTTGATAGCAAATGAATTAATGACGTCAGAAAATTAACTAGTTTCAGACTGTTCATGATCATGGACATGGCTCACAAGAATATACAATTTATGTGAATAAACACTTAAAAAATCAAACGATTTGACCAAATTTAAACCAAATTCAAAAAATTTTCCTCAAATAGGCTTAAAATCGTACACAAATTTCGTATTGCCAAGAAAATTTTTACTGGCAGGGCTACTTTAAGCCTTTGTTCGTTTTCAATGCTTCCTTTTTGCTTGCGTCTGTATTTTGTTTGTGACCGGAACGATGTACCTAGAAAATACCTGTGGGATATTGCATTCTTTTCATAGCAATAAATTTGTCCTAGCTAAGTTTGTTTCCCTTTAACATTTCTTTGTTTTAAGTACGTTTTGTAAGTTATTTTTTTGTTCAGTTAAGTCTTTTTTTTGTTGAAACACGATGAAAGAGTGACTACTGCTAATGACGTAGCTAAAAGAAAAGGTCGACTAATGTTTTGCAGTAATTACCGTTAGTATAAATCGATGTAAATGATTAACTCTAACAGATGACGTAGAAATAGTTCAGTGATTTATTGTAATTGTAGCTTGTAAAATAGCTAAAATGTTCAAAATGAAGAGTGTTGATGAACCAGCTGAGGAGCAGATTCATCGACAATACGAATTCTAAAAGTATTTACTCCTAGCGGTCCTCTCTTGTTTACAATGGGATTTTAGATCACCAACGCAGATTTTTATCAACTTTTAATAAACTCTGAATAAATCTCATTAGATTTTTGTGCAGCTTACAACATTGTAGCTAGAATGTAAATTCCTCCATTCACTTATTTCAACAAACTGCTTTTGGATATTTATCAATGACAAAAAAAACATTTTTGGACATTAATGCAATGGTGAGTTTATTTTAACAGCGTTATATAATGTTAAAAGCTGCATCATCTGCAATGTAAACTATTTCCTCCATATGATACAAATTAGAAAATTGTAGCATTTGATAATGTCACGCTTTAGTTAGAATCTTTTGTTAGCATTGCATTATAAAACACATAACGTTAGACTAATCACTGTGGACCGACATAAATTCAAAACCTTAATATAGAAAATAAGCTTCATGCGTTTCGCTGATTCATTCGGCAAACCAATCTGCCTAATACTTACTGCTAAAATATGGCTTTGTGTTGAGGCAACGTATTTGATAGCTCAATATTAGTGCTAATGAGTGACGTGGAAGTGAAAAAATGCAATTTTTAGAGATTAAAAAAGAAAGCTATATTGCATGTTTCAATGATCGGGAAAAATGTTTTTTTCACTTACGTGTGGCTTTTCTTCTCACTTCAAAGTAATTTGCTCGTCATCACGTTTCATTTTTCTGGTGTGCGACTTTAATAGGATGAGAACTCAGTATAAATGTGCAATGGATACACTCCGTCTTGAGCTTTTCATAAAATGTTATCAATAAAGCCATTGGAGGTCTTAACCGACGCCTTTCATATTGAACAATATAAATATTTCGAATAACGAGTTAATAGATCTACTTGCTCTTAATGGATCTAATACGTGATATTAATAGATCTAATTAAACTATTATTACTTTTTAACTTACATAACTTCTACATTCTTTAACCCTGTAGCTACATGCCACCGTAGCACATCAGGGAACCAATGAATTGACAAAAATATTCTAAGCTGAAGGGTCAGGCAATATCATTAAGCCTGCTTATTTGAAAATTTAAAATAAGTAAGACTTTAATTTTCGTCATATCATTTTGGCTTGTATATTTGTGGATTTTTTTTAATAATTGGCTCTATCACGCACAAAATTTATCACACGCTGCGCGATTCACAATATAACCCTGACTTGGCCTTTTATACCGAATAATTGCAATATTTCGAAAAAAGCACATATTCAAAATATAGAAATTCCTTTCTTATAATTAAATTTATGTCAATCGAGTTCAAATATGCATGGTGGCAGAAATTTTTAAATAGTCGCCTCTCCTTTTATATCAACACTTTACAAGGCGTTTCTTTTTACGTCTAATATTCAGTAAACTGTACTCGACAGACCAATAATTTTGTCTCAAAGATACTTGTTAAGCCTAGTTTTAACTGCAACTTGCGTCATAAGCACAAGCAAAACAAATCAAATCATGTTCTTCTGAGGTTAGAGGAAACAAATCAAAGGAGATTTCCTTTCCAATTTTCTTTTGTTACACTTTACACTTAGCTACTCAACTGGTTGATTTACAAAAAATAAAATTATACAAGTAGTTGTGCTGTTGTATATTTTTTACCAATTGCTGACAATGTCAGGCAAATCACTTTATAGTCTGTCACAACGAATCCTGCTTGAGATTTTAACTTGACAATTTCATGATGATCAATCTACTTTTGATTTACTGGCTTACTGTCGATTTCAACTTGCTTTCGAAAAAAAGTTTGAAACTTTCATTCGAACATTCAAATATTCGTACAAAGTACAAACATTTAAATGTTCGTTTGAATAGTATCACGGAGTTATCAAACAATGTCGGCCACGTCGGCATTGTACTATTCAAAAATGAAACAAACACGTACGGCTGGTGCCCAACATTATTATTCATAAAATGAAACATGCACGTATTCGAAACATTTAAGTGTTTAGATGACTTATCCAAACATTCCAAATTTCTTAACTCTTAAAAGTAATTTCAACTTGGTTATATGAAAATTTCAAACAAATAAGGCCTGCCTACAGGAGACCGGAACAAAGTCAAACCGCTACCAGCTCGTGTCGGTCGAATTATAATTTATGGTAAATGTTTACGTGGGTCCATAACAAAAATCACTCAGAGAGGTCTGAAGTCGTACCGCATTTTTAGCCGATCCGACTGATTTCAGAACGGTATGAATCGAAACCGGTATTCAAACTCAAACTTAGCATTATTTATTAATTCCAAACGCAATTATAAATAGCTCCATAGAGTGTTTTCATCAGCTGTCATATTGGGGGAAAACTCCATACAGTGAAAAGAATTTACGTTAAATAATATTCTCTAATGAGCGCGATGGATGAGCATCGGCACTTTCATGTACCTCCCCCAACATGGCTGCTTTGACGTCACTTGTAAACACTCCATCAAGTTGAGACTTTTCTTGTGATGAAGTGAAAAAATACTTTCTTGTAGAGGTAATGGCAAACAGATATCAGAGTGTGTTGTCAAATTTAGGCGAACGTATATGCATGTTTTTTTCACAGACAAATCTTTGGAAAAGTTTTATGACATAATCTATAAGATAAAGAAAGCTGCTCCTTACATTTGCAATCTATCGAATGAAATAATAAGAGAGGCGAATAAAAATGTAAAACTTATCGGCGAGGCATTTTGAAATGTGCGATTGTGGTGCAGAAACATTTAAAAGCTACATTTGTTATAATCTTTGAGATTATTGTTGCTAAATTGACAGGTATATTGCGTGGTTCAAAGTAATAAAACATCTCGTTTGACTGTAAAATATTTGGCTGCATCACGTACAGACTGATGTCACGCTGCGCCATTTAGCATCACGACAACTGCCTTTTATACCGACTAATTGCAATACTTTGAAGCAAGCACATATTCAAAATATTTAAGTTTCTATCGTATATCTAAGTACATTTATGTCAATATAGTGAGAATAAAAAAATGATAATGTCTACGCTGTAAGAATAAAAATTAACTTAACTTAAAATTTAATGTATTCCTCATAAGTAATTTAACAGAGCTCTTAATATATAAAGCACGCGTTTGTCGCATATATAGAAAGGTCTAATGGCTCAATCTAATATAAATAGTTGCTTTTACTATTTTTTTATGTGGACACACAAATAACTTTAAAATACAAAACTAGTAAACTGTTAAACGTAAAAATCAAATCTACTGAATAAATGTAGGAAATTACTTTGATCACTTCAGTGGATTGATTTTGGAGCGACTCACTTAGTTTGGTAAGAAAAAGCCGATTTCAAATATTTTTTTAGACAAAACAAATAAAATCGGCACCGTCATCACGAATAGGATACGTGATACTTCATATAAAATATTTAAAATATCCTTTATCATAAATTCAAATGTGATACCAGACATTCGCTTTGCATTGTTTTCACAGCTGACAAACTTCAATTGAAATGCCTACTTAATATTATAGGAGTAGATTTCATATCTGTCAACTGCAGAGTCTTTCCGGTATAAGTTTATGCCCTCGAAAGTTGAAGGTTAGTATAACTTTTTATTTTAGCGAAATTAAACCGTCTTATAATGCTGCTTGACAACGAAGTGACGATGTCTATATTTGTGTCGTACATGTTGACAGCTGTTGAATTGCTTTTAGTGTTCAGATCTACGCATTATCGAGGCGTAGCTAATAATTTCTAGTTTTGAATATAATGTGATATTTTTGGCACGATTTCTTTCGAATATATTTTAATTTCATACATCGGTTTATAAGTAAATGTATTTCTTAATAACCAAAACAAGAGAAGAGAAAATACGCATGTACTCTGAAAGCACACTCGCACACAGCCATAGAGAATCATGCGCTCACTAAATAGTCGCTGGAAAATTCATTTTTTCATCAATGGCAACATTTCTACTTCGATATTTAATCTTAAGCAATTAGTTGAGTTAAAACACATCTTCAAATAGTATTGTGTTGAAGCCCCACATGAAAATGAGTGAGCAGAGACTGAAAAGTTCGTAAAATGTAAACTGTGCACCCAAGATAAAATTTTACCGGCCTGCCTTTCATTTTTGCTGGCCTGAAATTTTAATATTGCACGCCTCACAATAAAGAGTTTCAGATATGACTATAAAACGACTACCGCTACGTGACTGGACCGTGAGAGATCTAGATTTGATAAACAAACTGTCGTACTCGTAGTCAAGCAAATTTTGTTTAGAACTTAAGATGATGACTATACGAGTAAGAGTACAACTTACACAACTTTATTCATTCATTTCTTTTTGAAATGTACTGTGATGAATCTATTTTTGAATCATCATCACTTGAGAATGTATAAGAATAAAACACTTTGTTTTTTACGAAGTAACAAGACAAAAGTCTTTGTACAGTCGCCATTGCTATCATGCAATATGAAACTGAAAAAATTAACGACGAAACTTTCCATATTCTTGGTAACTTAGTTGGAAAAAGCTTTTGAGAAAATAATGAAAAACCGGATGTACGTGATTGAATGATTAATTTCATTTTTAATGAAATATTATATCTAACTGTCGCTGGTCGCGGGTAAAAAGTCGCGTGTCGCGGGTAAAATGTCGCGCGTATAAAAACACTTTTTTTGAATGATAAAGTTTGAAAGAAGTCGATGTTAAATTCTCAGGAAGTCTTTATTTCTATGTATGTCCACTTGAATGTGCCCTATAAATCAACGTCCTCTGCTGTCAGTATTAAAATATGTCAATGGTGTTTGGATATTTAACAATTGTGTTTGTTATATACCTATCCAAATATACACAACGATGCGTTGTTAATAAAAGAGGAATTGTTATTAGTTTGAAGGGCCGTTAAAGTTCTCATACAATTGAAACTGTAAACACCCAGTTCATAAGTTATAAGATATGGTTTAATTATATGTATAACTTGCACTTTCTCACGATTATAAATTTGCTTTGCTCATTATCATTCAAAGAGCTGTATTCAAGTAAATTTTGAATGGTTAGTGGTATGCTTGGTATTAATGAAAAGCTAACAATGTATTCAATAATGTATAAATTATTAGTGTATAACTTATATAGTTTTATATTATATTTGGATACATTGAACAAACACACATACATTGCCTATATGAATCTGGATTTTACATAACGCTAATAAGATATGCTCCTATTCTTGTGTTCGACTGTAATACGATGAGATTTCAGCATGAATATCCAATGGATACATTCCGTCTTGAGCTTTTAATAAAATTTTATTAATTAAGCCAATGGAGGTCTTGAACAAAGATTTAACAGACGCCTTTCATATTGAACAATATAAATATTTCGAATAAAGAGTTAATAGATCTACTTGATTTTAATGGATGTAATACGTGATGTTTATAGAGATATGCTTCTATTGATTACAAAGAACGTGCATCTTATAGCCCCTGGCTGATGGCTTTACCTGGAGAACAGTCATATCAAATATCAACCATTAATTCAAGATATTTATTTGGATACATCTCATGTAGTGTTTATACAACATATTATTGCCGAGTAAAAGACCAATTGTGCGCAAGAAAAAGTGGTAGCCATTTTTACTTGTCATTTATCCATAGCTGATCCTAAACTAAATGTGTTTATAACTTGAAGTGGATGTACGGAATTTTCAACGGCAATGCCAATGGCCTCTAATTATAGAATTTACATACTGGGTACATTGGGCTATATCATAAGTATAACTAACACTTTCCGTTCAACTTCTAATGTATGCGGACTTTTACATATGATAATGCTTTTCAATATCTTCTTAGTGTGAAGTTATAACAACATATCTAGTTGTACACGAGTAATTTCTTGAAGTGTTGACGGTTGGTAAGTATATAACTATGCACGATTACAACAATAAAGTACTTTAAAGTTTAAATCCAACATATGTATATTTGGATAGGTATAGCAAACACAAATCTTAAATATCCAAAGCACCGGTGACATATTTTTTTGTTGACAGCATAGAGCGTTGATTCATAGAGCACATTCAAGTGAATTTAACATCGACTCTTAAAAACTATGAATGCTATCGGAACCAAGCGCAAACGTGATTTCATATTACTATCTATTTATTTGTCGTCATTACCAGTACAGACCCGACGACATTAACGATTTTTCTGAGCAAATCCAAATTTAATAATTTTGGATGATAGCTACTCAGTTTTCAGCTTATGTTTTAAAGCCATTTTATGACAGACCATCTAAACTCCCTTAGACTGGTAAATGTTAAATTTACACGTAAAAAAAATCATCTGCTGTACAAATTCTGATGTTTGATTGCATTTTTCTCTCTTTAGTTTAGTGTTTTTCATATTGTGATCGAAAGATGTCGAGGTAAGCAATTGTTGGTTGTTGTATCTGCTACACTTAATTGTGATGAGTGATGAAAATTTAATCGATTCAGTAGGCAATCATCCTTCTATACTTTACGTTGTGAATATGACTTTTTTATTCATCATTGATTTTCGTAAATTATCAACCTTTCTTGTAACATTACCAGTATCACCCCTCTTACAACATTACCTCCCTTCTTTGAGTTCTTTTAAAATCAACATTGTCATGTTATCTGTCTTTTTTTTTCTCCTCATCAAGCTACAAAGCCTACATGTATAATACTATTCACACTTACAGATTTAATTAGCATGCATATATTATAGCTCCAGTTTTTACTGCCGAGTATCAGCGAGGCAGCACACTATTCATGAATCCAATTTTACTCGACCCAGTCTTGTAATGCGACCTATGTACTGGTCAACATCTGAATTTGGCGTCTGTACGGTAAGATTTTCCCCGGCATGACGTCACAATTTAGAACAATTTTTAATGTGGAGGAGTGGATAGTAAAAATTGTTAGTTGCGCACGCATGCTTTTTCGATTAATAAACATAAGCTATTAAATGATCAATATTTCCTCAACACTCGTATTTCTAAATGTTCTTAGTATATTTATCTGTAATATATATATATGTTATGTACCCGCTGGTAGATCCGTACGGAAAAAATATTTTCACGAGGTCTTAAAAACTGCCCAAGGTCGTGCAGACCGACCTAAACGGTAAATAACATATCTATTTTTTTTATTTCATCATTAGTAAATTCGCGTAGTAAAATTCTAATACCGCGCTTATTGTTTACGTTTGGTGGTGGTATTTTGAGGACCACTATCGCTTTTCACGACTGATTTAGAGTCAATCCAAGTCTTGTAAATGTACAGCTTTCGTATGATTCACAAAAGTTCTGCTTTTGGTGCTCTTCAACTTGGTTTTTCGATGTGTGGAGAATATATCCACTATGGCCAGATAGTTTTTCTGTTCACATTGGAATAATTCAATTGGAACTATTCCCCAAAGTTATGAGGGTTTACTCCTTGAATCATGGGTTCTTTAGGGTGAACATCTGATATTCTTGGCAAATTTGAAACTTGGATACGACTTGTTCAGTTTCTCATTCATTCTTGGCCAATATATAATATATCTTGCTCGTCGTTCTGACTTTCCTATGCCTATATGACTTATGTGTATCCTTTGTAGCATCTATTTCCTCCTACTACGTGTAATTATAATCTTATGTTGCTTCAGAAGGATTCCATTTGCTTCTTAGAGCTCAACACGATAGTTTCAATATTCTTGGATTTTACAAGGTGTTTGTTCCCACGTTTCTGGGCACCATCTACGGATTGTCACTGAAAGGATCTCAAACGGTTTTATCCGTTGCTTTTTCTTTCCTAATCTGTTCCATTCGTTCTTCCAATTCTTGTATTTTATTGGTTATCGAATGCACATAAAATTCTAACTCTTCGTTCATCTGCCTAGTGTTGCCATCAGTATCTGTCATCGTTATCTGTTATCGATGGTGATCATTTTTATTTCCTGCTTTATAATTCGATTTTAAATCGTACCGTTGTAATCGTAATATTATTCTTCATAGATGAGGTGGTGCTGATGTTAACGTTTTTTTCACGATTGAGATTAATGGCTTATGATAAGTTAGAACTTCGACAGATCTAGCGTACGTGTATTGATTGAACTTCTCAAATGCAAACACAACAGCTAAAAGTTCTTTTTTAATTTGTGCATATGGAGTCTCCGTATCAGTAGTTTCTTACAACCTCGACCCCCTATTAAACGTCAAGTGCTCGAAGTTGTTCTATGAACTGTTTACTTATTTGACAAACTTCTAAAGCTTTGTCCAATATTGACTCTCATTCTCGTAGTAACCGTTTTCTTACACGATCCAATTTTATTCCATACGCGACTCTATCACTAAAATTAGTTCGTCCTCGAGTGTGTCCTCGAGGGAACCGAAATTGCAGTTCTTAGACAGCAATATAAAGTTCCACTACATCCTGATCTATTCTTTTGTCATCGTTTTGTGCCCAAGCATACCTAAACGCTGCTTATTGTTCTTTCTCGGTACTCTTGGCTATGTTTAATTTGAGGTATAGTTGCGTGGTTTCTTTCTAACGTTTCCATCTTTCAGGTAAGGAGAACTGTTTGGTTGTCGAGAAGTTCACATCTACTGGAGTATTCATAAGCGCTTCCATCTTACTCCTGAAACCATGTAATATTATCTGTCTTTCTTATTCTTCGAAACAAGTTACAAAGTCTACTTATGATATATATTTACAGATATAATTAGCATGAATGTATTATAACCATCCCTCCTTCCAACATCCCCTTTCACCCTCCTTTGAAAATTTTGACGCCTCTTTATATCATTAACATTCCTCTTTTAATATTGCCATCTCTCTTCCAACAACAACATCCTTCTTTTAACATTAACATGTCTCTTTAAATGTTACGATCTTCATAACAACACGTAAATCCTTCTTTCAACATCAATCGTCTCTCCAACATTATCATTACAACATTATTTTTGACATTACCACCATTTCTTTCAACACCAGATTGAATTTATCGATAGTTTGACTTTATAAACTCCCTTCTAATATTAAAGTCAATCTTTCTACATTGCCATACCTCTTCCAACATTACTACATTTTCATACGTTATGATTTGCCTAGTTATAGTTTAATTAGTATGACATGAACTAATGGAAGTTCTCTTCATAACTTAAAGCCACTTTGTTTTCTAAAATTCTTTACTATATACCTGGAACATTGTATCTTCATAAAACTTTCTGCTTTACTGGAAAAACTCATCTTTTTGTTTCATTTAAATTGTAGACTTTCTTGTTGCAAGCGTTCCAATCCCTGGCAAGCATATCTTAAACTATGTCGCTTCGTTAACAAAACAATCTCTCAATTCTTTGCCTTTCTTGGCGAGAAAATAGGTAATCATCCTTTGAAAACAGTCATGATGGCCTTTTTCCTTTTGGCTGTTTCGTGCAGTGGATTTGCGTTCTTCAAAGTGGAAAACAGGACGGAGGTCTTGTATGCTCCAAAGGATAGTGAGTCTGTGAAGAATCTGAAAAGGGCCAGCAAATACAATTTTTACCGCCCTACTAGGATGGCAGAGATAATTATATTGCGAAAAGAAGGAGAAAACATTTTGACAGAAAAGTGTTTTCAGGAGGCATTTAGACTTCACGAGAATATTACTCATATTCCACGGTACAAAAGCGTCTGTCTTCCTAACATAAAAAGCGATCCGTTAGCAGAAATGAGCTACTGTAAACGGGAAGAGCCATTTTGGGTATTTAATTACACGTCAGATTTTACTAATTTGTTGCCAAGGTTGAATGAGAAGTCGAAGTTGAATAGTGGGCTCTTCTCACGTATTCTAGGGAAACCAGTGTACAGAAACGGGTCGATTTTCTCTGCACAAGGCTTGAGACTCGTTTACGATATCAGGGGAGTTATGGTTGGTGATGATCGAGATAAATCAACAGAGGATTGGGAGAAAGAGTTTTTAAAGAAAATGAAAAGTTATCGCCCTTTAGAGTGTGGATCTTTGGTATACACTGCGGAACGTAGTATTGATGATGCAATCTCAGAAAGCACTGGAAGTGATGTAAAGCTCGTCTCATTAACGTTCACATTAATGATAAGTTTTGCGTGTTTTATGTTGGCCAAGTACCGTAATCCTTTGACAGGTCATGGTTTGTTAGCTTTTTCTGGTATACTGTGCGTTGGCTTTGGTATTTTAACTGGTTTTGGTTTTTCATTATTGTCACAGACGCCATTTGTCAGTATTGTTGGAATTTTACCATTTCTTATAGTTGGAGTTGGTATTGATGATGTCTTTATTATAGTGGATGAGTTTGATCGGTCTCAACCAGACGTGGACATTTCCAAACGACTTAGGGTGATCATGAAGACTGTTGGTCCGACAATCACCATGACAACATTAACAGACTTCTTGGCATTTGCTGTTGGTGCTTCTTCGAGATTTCTATCCATTGTTTACTTCTGCACATTCGCTGCATTCTCTATTTCGTTTGCATTTGTCTTTGTAGTGACAATGTTTGTTGCTTTTATGTCATACGATTGCCGCCGTATGCTTGATGGCCGCCGGGATATGTTCCCTTTTATCAAAGCACCAGAACCACCAGCTGGGAAATCTTGGGACGAGCCTCAACCGCAAACATCAAACAAACTTATGGAGTACTGGGGAAATGTCATCATGAAACCACCTTTTAAAGTGATCGTGGCTCTTGCATCGATGGCCTTGTTAGGAGCTGGTATTTATGGCACTACGTTTTTAAACGAGGATTTCGATCGTCGAGATTTAGCTAAAGATGGCTCGATATATATAAAATTCCTAGACACAGTCGAAAAGTACTTTAACACTGATATACCTGTTGATCTCATTGTGGAGCCTGGAGTGAATTATTCCGACCCTTCCACTCAGAGTGAATTAAGTAAATTGACCAAAGTTGTGAGGGAGAACAAATATTTTCGCCCTAATGTTGTCTCATGGTTTACAGAACTTCAGAAATGGCAAAACAAAACACAAAACACTACACAAAATGTACTGGGTAAGACGTTTAAAATTGCATGTGCATTCAAATATAACAATCCACCAGAAAAAGTGAGGGACTGTCACTATGCTTCAGATTTCTTTCTCTTTTTTTTCAGCATTCCTCACGTGTTATACAATTGACATTTTTTGTGATTTGTTTCTACATATTTTCAGATTCTCTTCAAAATTTTTTGCAAAGTAACCCACAGTTCAAGAAAGACATCTTCTTTGATAAAGACAATACAACGATTATTTCATCGCGGTTTTATTGTTATATGAATGGAACATCAAATTCTGTAACCCTTCGCAAAGCTTTGCAGTCTTTTCGTAAAGATTTACGAAAGAAACTAAAGATTGATATTTTTGCAAGCGCCTATCAATTCATCTTTATTGAGCAATTTATTTCCATCAAAGATGATACCATACGAAATCTTGTCATTGCTGCTCTCGCTATAATTGTTGCCACCAGTTTCTTTTTGGTAAATCCGCTGGTCATTCTTCTAGTGCTGGCTGGATTTGTGTCTTTGATATTTGAGCTGTTAGGTAGGTGGTCGCAATAATGCCACATTTTAAACCAATGAGATGATTATTCTGAATTCTTTATTTTTCAAAGAACTCCTTTTTTCTACTTTGTTTGTAGGTTTCATGTATATTTATAATGTTTCATTAAATTCCATCTCAATGATCAACTTGGTAATGGCGATCGGCTTTGCTGTTGACTACAGTGCTCATGTAGCTCATTCATTCGTCTTTTCCACGCAAAGCACTCCTGAAGAAAAAGTTATCGAAGCTCTTAGGACGACAGGAGCAAGTGTAATAATGGGTGGTAGGTTTTTACAAGTAATTATGTAAGTTTTCTACTTTCAAGCTCCAGTTGATAAATATCGCTTCATAGATTGTAGTTTAAATAATTGAAGTTGTTTTTGAGCAAATGGTAAAAAGGCCTTAGACTTAACCATGTTTTTACTTAACCATTAATGCCGTGTCAATTCCGTTGCCAATGTGTTTTAACCCAGTCCTTTAACAGAAACTTTATTAAACCATTAAACAATTGAATTCGATTGAAGATTTATTATATAATTTATAATTTTACCAATTAGGGAATTTCTATAAAGCTATTTTTCTGTAGGTTTCAGTACGTTCCTAGGAATGGTTGTAACAGCTTTTGCGTCTTCAGAAATTTTCCGAATTTTCTTCAAAATGTTTCTTGGGATTGTTGTTCTTGGTCTACTTCATGGTTTGTGCTTCCTTCCAGTATGGCTATCCATCTTGTGTCGCTGGCCCATAAATGTACGCCCTGAAGAGGATGATGATGTCCATCAAGAGTCACGTGCTAAAACGTAAGTCTTCATTTGGCAATGTCAGTTCGTCAACATGAGATTTATGCCATCATTGGCATAATGCTATTTAACTTCTGTGTAATCTCAAAAAATAAAGACTGTGACGCTTGTTTTATTTTGCTGTGCTAACAATGCATTTCAATTATGTAATTTTTTTATAAAACTAAATCATTTATACTTCCAATGGTTACTTTATTGGAAATACGATGCCACCACGCGGAACCCACATATATTTCACCTCTTAAAGGTTTCTGGTAGTCGCATTTACATTACGCGAGAATAGGATCTTCCACCATGATGCTTTGCAGTAAATCTGTTAGCGCTATATTTAAAGTTGATGAGATTGGTCTGCTGTTTTTTATTCTACCTATCGTCAGTTTTTGAGCAAATTATCTTTGCAGACTTGTTTGATTGTGTATAGTTTCTGCTCAGAATTGCTACTGTTTGTTGTCTAGGGACGTGGTTAGTATCCCTAGAGATCACTCGATGTCCAACAAAAACCCAGCATTTGCTCTATACAATGAAGAAGGGAGAGATCCTTCATCTGCGGAAAAGCAAATGCCAGAAGGAAAAAAGCAAAATAAAGTGAAAACGTATCTTTGAAGTTTGTGAATATTACTTTTAATAGTAGCGAGCACTGGTGGCGAGCAATAATACTTTTCGTACAATAGTTCAATCACGACTATTTATTAATATTTATAGAGTATAAACATATAAAATAATGAAACACGTAATGACATGAATGAATATATCTTTGCATGCATGGAAAACTGTAAATACGTGTATAGATGGTAGACATGTATCATATATGTTGCATTGTGAGTCGCTAGAATGGCTCGGTAACTAGAAATAATTCATTTTCTTTAATCGTAGATTTTCCATGCGGAAGTCAAATTGGTATAAAAAATACAAGCAGTCAGCACTTATATTGAACAGTCACACAAAGCGCTACATTATGCGATGTGTGTTTTTAATTTTATTGAATAAAATCTTGTTCTTTATATCATAGATTAACTGCAATAAAAACAAAAATTACTCTACCAAAATATTCTTTAATTCAGTCGCATAACTAGCCCCGAGCAAGCCTGCAAGTTTCAGTACTGCTATATGTAAATTTTGGACATAAACATTATTAAGCCCTTAATAACCGAGCTCGAAGTCTTTACGGAGAAATCTCGAACAGAAGTTTTTTTGTATAGACCGAGCCCGTAGCGCGAGGTTCAAAGTTTTCACTTTATATAATTTTATAAACTTTTCAAAAATAGTAGACGTGACGATGGTTGTTTTTGTTGCTGTATTTTAACTCAGGATTATGAGCCAAGTGGATATGGGAAGAATTGTATTTGCAATTGTTTTATAAAAAGATTGTTGAACAGGCGGTTGTCAAGCTACCAGTAAAGGTATCCTTACTTAATAAGGAGTAGCTAAGGCTGCCCGTTTTTCACTACTACAATGCAACTATTTTTCAGTTCAATCACTGGAAAAACACTAAATTAAATTTATTTTCTAAAGAATTTTTGCATTGTAAGAGTTTGAGCTGGCTTCGCCAATGCTTATACGAATCGTAATTGTATGTAATAATGTATAACAAATGTGTTTTGAGTAAAACATTCGTTAATTTTTCATTAATGTGCAACTCAGTTCACAATTTTTTTATTCATATATTTCACGATTTTGTATTGCTGGCCAAATTGATGCATGGTGACTTATCTCATGAGCAATTAACATGATATACGTTACATATTTTATTAGATCATCATATTCGTAATGACTGCTGTAGTTCTTGGTGGAAGTATTTATGGCTCAATGCAATTAGAGCAACAGTATGAAGCCAAATGGTTTCTTCCTACTGGAACGTCTGTCAGAAATTATATGGAAATTAATGATGAGGTAGTTTATTATTTTATGTCTTTCGTTAAAGCTAAACATTAAACACTAGAAAACATGCAATGATCCGTTATGCCTAAATCTATAATGCTTTTTTCATTTGTAAGAAATTTCTTGAAGGTGGTCAACCAACTGCTTTTTATACCGGTACGTCCAATGACGATTTACAACATTTTAGCAGTAATTATCGCCTTTATCGCTTTTACTTTGAAGCAAGAAAGAATGATTATTTTATTGTTTTTTTTACAGGAGAGATTGATTATTTCAAAGAACAAAAACTTTTACACAAACTTAATAACAACTTAAGGAGTGAAATGCAGTACTTGGCATCAAACACAACAGTAAATTGGTTTGAGAAATATATTCAATGGTTAAAGAAAACCAAACCTGTATACCTAGACAATTTAAGTAAGTCATCAGTAGCAATTATTTTTAACATATCCGTGTTTCATGAAGCAACTCACAAAATAAAATGTTCATTCAACGTGAACATATTCTAGCTATATAGGTATGATATAAGTGACACAATATAATTTTTTTTGTTAGCTATGACGGTTTCTACAAAAAACAAATTCTATGAACAACTGAAAATATTTCTAAATAGTAAAGATGGTAGACGTCACAGAAATGATATAATATGGAATAAAAGTATGAAAGTCATTAAGGTAGTATGAAGTCCTTTTATTGATACACATTCGGTGATAATGTTCTTTTTAAAGTGAAAACGCACTTTTTTATCTATACAGGCAGCTAGAACACGGGCATTTCTTAAAGTTTTTAGAAAATCAAAATATCGCGTTGAAGGAATGATAAAACTTCGCAACATAATTGAAAGTATTGGCTTTAGTTTGGATCCCATAGTTTATGGCGAATGGGTTTTGTTTGCTGAAACCTCCAAGGTACAATAAGTTAATTTTGGACTGAGTGTACCAGTCATTTAAAGCTTGATAGTTGATATTTTTTCCATTGTTTATTCAAGGTGATTGCTGAAGAACTTTTTAGAAACATTTTATTTGCTATGGCTGCCATCTTCATAGTGAACTTTGTGTTTATTGCTAGCCCATTGACATCATTGCTTGTATGTTTTTGTGTTATTTTAACAGTGGTTAGTAGCTTAACAACTTTTTTTTATAATGCAATTATCTTGTGAAAATAAGATGACCTTCAAATTTTTATCCCATTGAATTTACGTTCCTGTGCATCACTTGTATATTAATTTTTTGATACATCCTGACTTAATCATCCAGGTAGATGTGGCCGGAATGATGTACTTTTGGGATTTAACAATTGAAACTGTTTCATTTGTGGTGCTTATAATTTCTATTGGTTTGTCTGTGGATTATGCATCTCACGTTGGACACACGTTTATGACAAAATCTGGTACAAGAAAAGGTAACAAAATATGTTTAGCAATTGAAATGTTTACCTAATGTCTGCGTAGTGTGACATTGTGTTATTTTATGTTTCTATCTTGGAATTTTTTTGGTGCAGAAAGAACAGTTAAAATATATCGCGATATCGCCCCAGCGGTATGGAATGGTGGTTTTAGTACATTTTTAGCGATTGCTCCATTAGTTTTCTCAAAATCTCACGTTTTTATAACATTTTTTAAGGTAAGTAAAAGGAAGTTAACCTTGTGAGTAGCTCTATTGTTCATTGACGCAAAGATACGAATTTAATATTGTAGATATTATTTGGTGTTATTATATTTGGAATGTTTCATGGACTTATTGTCCTTCCTGTGATTTTATCAATCATTGGTTCAAGTCCGTATGATTTGGCAGAAAAAATGGAAAATTCTTCAATGTCTGGAAATGTTTCACAAGAGCAAAATATCAATACACTTACTGTTCTGTCTCACACAAATGAAGGTTTGCAGGATGGTGATGATGTTCAAAGCACTATTTAAACGTTTTCAGCCAAAGAAAGAGGTATCTGAGACTGAAAAACCACCAGTTTTCATTGTTGAAATGAGCAAATGAAATTTGAGAATGATTTAATGCACATGTAATTTCATAGAAACATAAATGAAGAAGCAAAGAGAACATCTGGTCATTTCAATAAAACATCATTTTGCTTGTTTACTTATATCTACTAAAAGTAGCTAAACACTTTCATAACAAGAGAGTTAGTTAGAAAGAAGTTAAATACGTGAAAATTTATACCTTTTCTAAACCGCGCACAGTAAATTCTCAACATCATAGAGAATGTCAAATAGCTGAACACGAAGAAAATAAAGTATCTATTTTTCCAGATTTGCAGCATTCATTTACCGTTTTGCAACTTGACAATGAAAACGATTACTAAAATAACATATACATATAGCTAGTAAAGCAAATAATTAAAAAATCTGAAATAATTTTTTAATACACAGCTATATTTACATGTTTGTAAATGTAGATCGTCCAGGTTGGTATAGTCCTGGGAAGGACTGTTTTTCTTGTTGTTGACTGACGTTTCGACAACCTTAGCGGTAGTCATCTTCAGAATCAAATGAGGAGTAAACGTCAGGTTAGCCGCATTTGGAAGACAGAGCGAACAACTTGCTAACAACTACAGACGTTTTGGAAGCAACGTCAGACGCATACGGCAACAAATCTGGTTCAACTACCGCTGCAAGGACGTAAGAACCAGATAACAAATACGGCTAACCTGACGTTGACTCCTCATTTGACTCTGAAGATGACTACCGCTAAAGTTGTCGAAACGTCAGTCAACAACAACAAAAACAGTCCTTCTCAGGACTTTATTAACCTGGACGATCATCGTTTACAAACATGTAACGATACTCCAGGGTTCAAACCATTTACTTTACACAGCTATATGTCAAATAACTCAATATATATTGAGTTGAAGATAGAAATCATTTTTTTCTCACCCACAAACTGTGTAACACCTTACTCAATTGTAAATTTAGAATTCACCCAGTTTTTATGAAATCTAAACACGGTCATAATGGCTCTTTCAATTAAAAGATCAATTGGTTTCCACGAGCCATTTTTCTTCCTCAGAATTCAGTTTTGTACGATCTAAATCAATCGTAAGAAATGAAAGATAAATTAAAGTTTTCATTTGTTTTCAATCTCACATTGCTATTCTTAAAATAGCGCAATTGAAAAGGCCTCACAGCATCTGAAGAATCTGCTGTGTTTTGGTGGTTCTTTACAATTCTTTATAAAATTCAGTTACTAACTTTACAGCAATGAATATCACATCTGTCGCAATTATCATCAGTTTATCACTTTCACTGCATTTAAAAAATTGAAAGTGACTTTGCAAAAGCATTTTGAAGAAGCTTAAAAAACTGGCTTAGAATTTGCACTGATTAGTTTGAGTATCTCCAAACTTCGTGTGTAATCTCCATACTTCGCGTGTAATCTCCATACTTCGTGTGTAATCTCAAAACTTCGTGTGTAATCTCAAAACTTCGTGTGTAATCTCCATACTTCGTGTGTAATCTCCAAACTTCGTCTGTAATCTCAAAACTTCGTGTGTAATCTCCATACTTCGTGGTCGTGGATTCGCAAGTCCATATTATATTCACAGGATCTATCCTCTTATTTTCCTATTGAGTATTTAGTTTGTTTTTTACCCAAGAGAGAAATTGTTGTGGCCAAGCATAAAATTTTTAATAAGGTCAAATTTTCTGCGCTGAACTGAGCTCCGTTAAGAGAGTTGAGTTAAGAGACATTGATTGCGGTTACATTGAAAATCTCATTTTTGAGGATAGAAATTAACTGGAATCTAATCTATTAAACACGCAAAATATAAAACATAAAAATTATGTGTTGCCGACAACAATGAGACGACGTGTGCTTAATAACTCAGCCCCGCGCCAAAAACCATTACATGGCGTAGTTTTCGTCCAAGTGCTGACTGCTGAGTTCAATACTGGTTGAAACAGGTTTGAAATTTTAGCACCTTGGTTGAACTCAACACATCGGGCTAAAAATTTGCCATATAATTACGCGTTTGATGCAACAATTTTTTTGTATAAATACTAGGCTGAAATTTCAACTGGTTGAGAATGCTCCATGAAATCAGCCCTTAAAAGGCTTTTATTGGCGTGCATACATAACCTGTCATTTGCAATGCCACTTCGCATATTAAATTGCTTACTATGTCTAATAAGACTTAACGTAATGTCGTAAAAGAAAATGTTTTGAAAATTGATCCATTTTTGATTCTGCATATTAAAGACAAAAAATTCACATAAAATAAAGAAATTGCGTGAAAGCTGAAAACGTGAAGAAATAAATCATCGTTAGCATATGATTGTTCCATGCAGAGTCGCAGACGGCTTATTAGTGCTATCTAATGACACATTCTGAGTAAGTTTAAAAAGAGGAAAGCGTTCATCAGGAGAATCGAGATTTGGGAAACGTGCTATGTGGAAAGAGAAGTGATATTGAACCAAAGTATTTGGTTTGTAAATGATTTGAACCCGGGAGTATCGTTATATGTTTGTAAAAGTAGATCGTCCAGGTTAATAAAGTCCTGAGAAGGACTGTTTTTGTTGTTGTTGACTGACGTTTCGACAACCATAGCGGTAGTCATCTTCAGAGTCAAAACTTCGTAGCCGTAGTCATCTTCAGAGTCATCTTAGCCGTAGTCATCTTCAGAGTCAAAACAAAATGTTGTCGAAACGTCAGTCAACAACAACAAAAACAGTCCTTCTCTGGACTTTATTAACCCGGACGATCATCATTTACAAACGTATTTGGTTTGACTATTTTCGTTAAATTCTAAATCGCTACTCACCAGCAAGTCGTTACACATCGTTAGCTACATCTTGTTGTTTGTCTTGTCGCTTCTCATATTCCTTGACAAAATTAGAACTTACTAATGCACCAAGTAACACTTCGAACAATATTCTGCAGGAAAATAATAGACTTTTATAGGATAAGGCACTGCTTGTCAAATATTTATTCAGAAAAAGGTGAGCTGGTTATAGTCTTGGCATGAAAATGCATGAACTATATAGTTACATAATTAATTATATGTAATTGATGGTCTGCTTTGTTCATTTAGGAATTAAGCTGGTTACAAAACATCAATAATTATTTGTTACATTGTTACATTGCTCTTTTTTACATAATTCATTTTACTATATCCATCGAACTAATTTGAAACTTTTTCAAATTTCTTTTTTCGATATTTTTATATTAAAGATTTCCCGCTTTCCGTTCCGCAATTTCCACTACATACAAGTTCATAATCCGATTTTTTCCAAGTTCCAATTTATTTATGGATGACTCTAGAATTTGTATCATATATCGCAAAATTGTGTCGGTAAATTGTAGAAGAAGAACACGTTAAAAATTCTTTTTTACATATTGATGTAACACCATTATAAGGCTGTTGCAAATAGCGCCAATTTTATCTCGTGTGCGTGGCTTCAGTTTCTTAGAGGGCGAAACAGATAAACTATATATGAATAACTCAAAGTCCATGCTGAGCTGTGTCAATACGATTTGCTCTCAATAGGAAGTTGATTAAATTATCGAAGTTGCTTTAATTTTTAAATATAGATTTCATTAAAGGAATGAGTGAAAGACATTGCATATAAATGCTAAAGAGTGTTGTGCCAAAATAGGAGTATATATAACTACTAAATTTGAAAGAAATTTGAATTAGGAATTTAACTTGCATGTTAACCCAGCTACAAGACCTCATATAAAATATTTATTTTTCTTTTGAACACGGTGATAAAATCATTAGCCTGCTTGTGAACAATTAATATTTTTTACTCTTTGTCATGGCTTGTTCAGATAACGCTAACAATTCATAGTAATTAACACTTATGGCTTGAATTTTTTGACTTCACAATTTAGAATGTGCCTTGTATTAAAGATTGTGCTTATTTGAAAACGCTTTTTTGATGCAGTCGGGTCAACACGTCGAAGCTAAGTGAAATTAGACATTAAATTCCTCCGTCTTAATACTAATGGCTCCAGAGGAATCTCATCACAAAAATAATGGTAAGGAGCAAACTATAATTGTGTGGGCCAGGTCAGTCGTGGTGGTCGTATGTGCTTTATTTACGCCTGTCATCGTTGAAACAGCGTTGAAATTCAAGGCATATTCATATAACTTCCAATAATTCTTTTCACTAGAAAGCTATTCAACTTTCTGTATAGGCAGACTCCTATTGTATCCAGGCTCGGATTAACCATATGGCAGGAGGGGCGTATGTTTGACCGTATAAGGTAACTTAAATTTATATATTTACAAATATTTTACTCAATTTTTTCAATGAAATGTTTTGATAGCAAACAAATATTCAAATTTCAAACGATTTACTTTGTCTCATCGACCGAATATTTACCATTTATGACACTAAACTAGACATTTTTGATCAAATAAGGCCTTAAATGTGAACACTGGTTTAGATGAACATGCAAACGCATGAATGTTATTTTCCTTCTAGAACAAACTACAGAGAATGACGCAGTTTTCATCTCAAGGCACAAAAACAGAGTGTCTCAAAAAATTTTCGCCCTCCCCTCATATAGAAATCATTCTTGAGCGTTATTGTATCTAAACGGGTAATTGTACCTAAGGGAATTGAATTGAATTGTCATTAACGGTGTAGTTATGCATTCAGCGTTCAACACAAGATGAGTAATTTGTTTTTGGGAGACATTTTTTGGGACACCGTATTATGTGTAAATGAAGCAAAAGTTTACTTGCTAGTGTCATAGCAAGTAGCAAACTTGATAATTTAGGGAGTCATCGGTCAAAAATTCAAATCGTTTTATGCGTAGTTGATTTGCCTTGAAATTCATCAATGTACGTCACTGTTATACACAAAGTTTTAGCATACTTTATATATTTTCATTTTTTAATCCATGATTGTTTATCATGTCTTTGATTTCCTAATTTATGCACATATTTTGAATGATAAATCGCTGACTTTATTCATCATTATATGACTGTACTTAACAACAACAATTTTAAAAGAATGTTTGGTTTCTTTAGTAGAAGAGGTATTTAACTAAAAGTCAAAAACTTAGTTTGCTGTCTGTTGCTGTTTATTTGAACTCGCCAATTTTGTTAGGTTCTTTGTACAGTTCGCAGTTTATATTCAAATTTTAAGATTATGTGGGTACAATGAACATGCATAAGGAAATGTCCAATGACGTTGACAATGCAATATATTGTAAATATCTTTACCGTATATGGTCAAGCAAAAGCCGCACCTTTGACATACCTAATAGGACATACCTAACAACATTGTCATATTCTTCGGCCAATTTAGTTTGTCATTGCCCTCGAACGTCAAAGTATCAGATTAAACTTCGAAGATATCTTATAGGCTGAATAAACATGGTAAGATATAAAGTAAATTTTTACAAAAGATTTTACAGACAAATTTTAGTTGATTTCAATTTGACATTCGAAGCTCAATTAGCTCTTCTGTCTATGAGTGAAACGCAAACAATCACGTTGTTTTTGAGTGCACTCTTAGTCATCCTTGTGTCACAGTACTTTGATTTATTGGAAGATATTTATTTATTTATTTAGAATAACTTTTATTAATGTATCTTGTGTTGACTGTAATCATCTTGCTATTTGATTATTACAGTCTGTGTATTTGTAACTCAACAGTCGTGTTTGACTTCGCTAAGGTTAGGTAGGTGGAAAATAGGAGCACCGGACAATCGGAGAAACGATCAACCGGTCAACCGGACAAATGGACCACCGGAGAAACGCGCATCCGGACAAACGGCAGGCGGACAATATATGTTTACATAACAAAAATAGAATGCATCTCAAACTATTGGTTGTTTAGTTCGAATGCAATTTAACTATGTACAAATGCATTAAAAAAAGATGGCGATGGTTATTTAGTCTTGAAATAGGATTTGCAATAAACATGTCTTGCAAGACGAATGCAACACCGAATACGTCGGTTAAATATAAATTACGTAATTTTTTACACGGAAGTACAGTCATTTATAAATAGACCACGTCAGAGTAAATTGTAAATTATTTCATGTCTTCCAATAAAAAGTAAGATATACATCATTTATTCAAATGAATTTTACGAATTTATATCAACGTGCTTTCCAAGCGTGCAGCAGTTTTACATCTAAAAATATAGATCGCCTGTTACTATCTCGCAAGTTGCACTTCAAGAGAGTAACCACCCCACAAATTTTGGTCCTGCTTTATAAAGTTCATAATATTAGCATTTCCATTGAGTTTTTTTTTAAATCTGCAGTTTGGCAGTAAGTGAAAGACCAAATTCATGATATGCCTACACCGCAGGTGAATTTACTCATAAATGTAAATCTAGATAAATTTGAAACGCTGCGTTCATGCAAAATTTTGCTGTTTTTGCTGGATATAAAATGGAGATGTATAAATATCCAATGAATGTACGTCTATCTTTAAATGTCAAACGACCTTCATCTTATGATGTTCGTGTATTTTTGTATTGGTATACACAGCATTTGAAGTATACTCGTCATCACCAATTTGAGATCATGCATAATAACTACCGCCTGGTTATTTTTCTTGTTTTACGTTTCTTCTGTTGTCCGTTCCCCGTGTATTCTTCCATCAGGCTAAACACGCAACTACTTATGTTGGAATGTAAACATGACGCCAAGTCTCAATTGACAATTCATCAATAGTATTTCGTTTCACACATCGTCGTCTTTCTCATGGGTTAAATACAATGTTGAGGAAAATGAAATGAAAGTCTGGAGCAAGCTTAAAGATTTGTATGATCAATAAATCTTAGTAGAATTCTTAGCGTTCCAATCGAGGAATAACAATTGTTATTTTGACTTGATTTACAATGAAATTGAGTGTGAATATATCATTTATTCATAATGACTTAAGTAGAAAACGAATATTTTGAACAGTAAAGGTAGAAAAATTAACATTCTGAGTTAAATATATTATTGTTATTGTATCGTGTTTATATTAAATAGCTTTCATCACAACACTATGACCTTTGAACCATACTGAAGAAGCGGAGTAATTTTCTGTTTCTTTAAACGTTTCTTTGTTTGATTACTAATGGAAATATTGTTAGGAAGCAAGTGTGAATGCCAATTTAGAAACACTACCTCAACCTTTCAAATGATTTGTTTCAATATTTATTTGTAATTGCATATCAGGAGTAATCTATAAGTAAATGAAAGAGACAAAAGAATTTTACATGTCGGTGCCATTTACTGAAGGCCTAATACCATACAGCTTGCCAATATTTCTCAAACCTTCAGTACATTGTTCATAAACTCTTTACCCTAAGATTGTAGCTCCTATATGTAGACATCATACAGGGCAGGATCAAATTCATCATCTTCGTGATGAAAAGCAAACAGGGACGCCGAAACGTTGATAATTGTGTGTAGGGAGGGGGGGGAGAGTCATATATTCATGGTCACAGCTCGTAAAAACACTTGATTTCAAAAGAAAGCAGCCAAGAAAATCACTTATTTGTAAATGTTGTCCCTTAATTATCGACGTTCCCGCGTCCCTAAAGGCCAAGTTTAATCTAATTCGTACTTTGCCCCTGAAGTTTCTAGATAAAGGAAAAGGTTTCGAAAAGCTCTGTTTCAAATGTTGAAGTTGAGAACTTGCTGTAAATTTTATGATGAGCTCGTTTATTGCCTTTCATTTTAACAATAAATTTTCCCATCACAAAATAGTTATTGTTCTTTACGGGAGTAAATTTATTTTCTAGAGTTCTTTTGGCGGCACAAAGCGATGTAGAGTTTGTGGAAAACCTGTGTACTATGCTGAACGAGCAGAGGGATTCGACGATTTTCATAAAAGGTGTCTAAGATGCACCGTTTGCCGAAAACAATTGGATAGTACTACTCTCGCAATGCATGATGGTAAAAACTATTCTATTTATTGAATAATTACATTTTAGTCATTTGAAAACAATGGTACTTAAAAATGCAAGATACTTCAACATAAAATATTGCAGATAACGTTATATAAACACGCAGGAAAGTTTAGGAGAAACGAGAAATTGCGTGCAAGCACGGCCGCTGAGAAAACTATTGGGGGTCCCCATGACGTCATTTTTGTCAAACAATGTAAGAATAAAATGGAGCTTTAGTTCGATGGCCGCTCTTCGTAGAGGCAACGAGATCTGCAATAGATAAAAATGTTCGCAAACAGATACAAATTTAGGGATACAAGAACTCAAGTTTTTCTCATAAATATGGTTAATAATAGTCAAAGCTTGATTGGCTTGAAGATGCTCTGGCAATTTTTTAAAACGTAACGTGGATCTTCTATGCATGATGTGTTAACACAAAAATTGTACTGACAATACAAAAAGTGTAAAGTATTTTTGCTCCGAACTTCAACTTTGAAATTTTCATTTGTGTAAATGAGGGCCCCTGTTAGATTGGGGGCCTGGGGAAAATTCCTTCCTTGCTTCTCCCAATCAGAAGGCCTGGGGCGAGCACGATGTTCAAGTGTTTTCAAGCATTTTCGAGTTCCTCTCAAACTTTCACAAGTGTTTCTATAACTCAATGAAATCTGGGACCATAATATTGGGGCACATTTAAAAATTATGAGTACTATTATATGTTGCCAAGTAAACGTCATTTTGAATTTTAGCAACTCCCCTGGTACAATCGCGCATGCAATAAAGTATGCGATTCTTTAGAAGTCCACTCAGCTTTGTTGTACATACATATGTTTTATAATCAAAATAGGCTATTAGTAAACATTCTGTTTCCTAATAATTTAACTATTTTAATGCAAAGTGGGGACAGCAATGGAACAAGTAAATATGTTTTCCTTTTCCTTAATGAAATAGCCTTTTGAAAACAGTATGAAACCGATAAAAATATCAAGTTTAACAACATCTTATTTATATTTGTGCCATTATACACGCTGTTTAGAACAGCATTTAACCCCAACCAATTCTTTTGTTACGAAGTAAGGATATACTTGTTATTGTCCAAGAGGTTTTGATTTACTTTTTGGCAGATTTCTTAAATATTTCTAGGCCTAGTTAAGCAATTTTTTAACATTTAAAAACTTCGAAGTTAAAAACTGACATAACTTGCAAATATGTTCATTTTTATCAATTTGCCATTGTGTCTCATCATGGCCATATGTTTTCCACGTTTTTCAGAGAAACCGTACTGTCACTCATGTCATACTAAAAACTTTGGAATACATGGATATGGATATGGTCAAGGTGCTGGAGTGCTATCTATGGATTTTGGAGTAAAGTCATCTCAATCAACAGCTCCTGCTGAAGCAAAACCTCAAACAGCAGTATTTGATGGTAAAGCTAAACCTGGTGGTCCCGATGATTGTCCTTGGTGTGGCAAGAGAGTGTACGCTGCAGAAAAGAAACTGGCTGCTGGAAGGGTATGTAATATACCAGTCAGGGCTGTAGCTAGAACGTTATTGGGGTTATTGATGTATTCATTTGTGCCCGATTGTTTTATTTAGAAAGTGATTTGGCTCTCTAAAGAAATCAGTCGGACACAACTGAATACATGAGTATACACGCCTTATCCTTTCTTATGTGTTTTTACAATCTCTTGTGATTAAAGTAATAGTTTTTGCATTATTTCATGATGTTGAAAGAAACTACTTTTCTTCAACATCTTTGGTGCAACTACCACGACCGTAACGAAAGTGTTAAAGCGAGGTGCAACCAGAGAAGATATTACGTTTTTCTGTTGTGTTTTTAAAAAATGGACCTCGTGGATGTATTGGGAGGGTTGCAGCCCATGATTACTTGCCTTACAATGTACTGCATTCAGCGCAATGAAATAATATTCTTAATGAGACCTTGTTTTAATGTTTCTTTTTCCAATTGAATTTCTACAGTCTTTTCACGCTCGTTGCCTCAGATGCTTTGAATGTAAAAAAGGACTGGATACTGGACACCTAAAAAGCCGAGATTCTGCTATTTTTTGCCAAGGTAATGTCAATCACTTTGCTGCGTTCAATGACTGTCTTGGACTTAACGTTGTCAAGTACTTCCGACTTATAAATAATTTTTGTTGATTGACATTTAAAAACAGTAGTTTTATATAAAGAAATGAATAATAGGAATGATCTTCTTTATTTTATGGATTTTCTGTACTTATAGATTTGATGTAATATATTTTAAATGTATTCCGGTGCTAGGTGTATTTCCATGGTGTTTTTAAGTTTATAATAAGTCCTCAACTTCACGGAGTTTTAAAAAACAATTGCTAACACCATTGTAGAAAGGAAACCTTATGATCTGCCAAGAGTTTGATTTCATTGAAGTCAAGTATCGTAGCTATAAAGTCGAAAAATTATCTCATTAGGTGGTGTTTACATGAATACGGAATGACTTTCAATCCCGATCGAAACGTGATGTCAATCCGTGTTTACATGGGAAATCAACACAAGGATTGACATTTTGCGGGAATTTTGAAATTGGAAGATGGAGAACATAAACATTATAGTAAACCTTTTTTTCCTGTTGCTCCTGCGTTAATACAGCTTAACTCTTGCATGAAACTAATTGTTGTTTTTCTTCGCACTCATTTTAGCCCATTTAGCCACTGTATTTGCTTACGAGCTTCAATTTGCCAGAAGACACTACGCACGGCGCATGCGTGCTTCGTCATTAATCACAATGTCATTCCAGAATGAAACTCAATTCGCGTTTACATGAGATTAAAACTAAATTTCGATCCGGAATGAAAATAGGAATGAACTCGATCCGGATCGAGTTGTGACTCATTCCAGATTCATGTAAACATGCAGTAACATTTCTTTTAAGTGGAATGAGCTCATTCCGGATCGAAACTCATTCCGGATTCATGTAAACACCCTCTTCGATGAAGGTTTTCAGGTGAAATTTCAAAATCATGAAATTTGTAATATGCATAAAATCTTTTTCAATCTTTCACTGTAAGTTTGACAAATCTAATGATATTTTTCTGTTCAAGGTTGTTATGGTAAAAAATTTGGACCGAAAGGTTATGGATTTGGTGGTGGAGCTGGAGCACTCACTGTTACACAATGAAACATTATGCTTTAAGTGACAACATGCCTTTATCATAAATTATCATTTGAAATAAATATAGAAGAAAGTTACGGCGAAGCTCATCGGGATTTGAGAAAAAATCATTTTATTTTACCATTTTCGAAATTTGCTTGAACAGAATATGGACTACAGCTATACTATACATGTATGGAAGTAACTTTAAATTTATTTATGATGATCAACACTTATTGTCATTTTTTTGAAGCACTATACAACAGTTTATTGAATTGGATAGTAAACAGTCATTAGATTTATCTTATATTTGACGGAAGTGTTTTATTACTCCATGGGGCATGCATGCAATTAGTATACATAAGTCAACATCAACTTTTGCTGACTGTCACCAGAATCAAACCAAGCATCGCAAGGTTGATAGGCGTTGCTTTGGACTACTTCGTCACTCAAGCCTCACTGAATTCTGATGATTTTTTACTGTATATAACACTGTTCAACCTTCCATGCAACAAAAAAGCTCGTCGATTTTGATGACCGTTGAAAAATTTTGTCATTGCAGAATCTTCTATTACACAAAGTAGGATGGTTTGTTTTACTTGATAAACATATGTAGTAAATATATTAACAGCTTATTAAAGATCAAAAGCTTGGCCATTATGGTGTTATTTTGCAAAAAATGAAGATGGTAACTATGCAAAGGCAAGCAAAAAGGTAAGCATTAGGGTAGACGTAAAGATAAACACAAAGTTAGGCACGAAGATGGACAATAGAAAATCTGGAGACCAGGTAAATTTATTAAATGTTTTGCATATCTTTGAAAAATATAAAGGGTTAAATAGTACAGTTATGATGGTAAATTTGTTCTGATGAACTTAATAAAACATTGGAAGTGTATTTTAGAGTTCGTTTGTTGGAAATTGAAAATGCAAATTTAAAAAAAAATTTAGAAGAAAAAGGAAAGTCTATAAGGTGCGATTTTTATTTAGCAAAAGTATTATTTTTCATTTTATTGTAGCTCATGCTCTCTCGCGTAAATTTCTTCCCCGCAAATTTGATTTCTATTCTTATCACGTCTCTCAAAATTGGCGATTTCTGCATCATCGAAGGTGGAAAGAGTCGAAAGTCTCAAATGACATATCTGTATGTGACGTAATTGATGGGAGAAGGTCGTATCGGAGTATTGCAACACAAACAGGAACGTGCTTGAAATGGTATGCAAGTACTTAGCTACATTATTTCCAACATGACACTCTACTCATGAATCATGGTACACAGTTAATTCAACAACCTTTTCATAGTTATTTAGAAAAAACATTGTACAAGCAAGACGGAGATGATATTTTCAAAGTGAAAACATGGGATGATGGGAAAGTGATAATTCAAACAATAACAGTGGATGATATGAAAAATGAGAGCGATGATCACATACATCTACCTGAATTAGTTGGCCCTTTATGTAAATTTTAAAACAAATTTAATCAAAGAGCTTTACTTCAGAAAAGAACTATAAAATATCATAGTAATGAATACTTTTTCAAACATCGTAAAAATATTAAGATGAACAAATCGGCAACAGCAGAAGCTTATTGTTTTCCCTGCCATGATTCAAAGTCGAAAATTTCTGTGTGGAACTTTATTTTTAATAGAATTATTAAAAATTGAATACAATATGTCCACTTATAGGTTCCGAAAATCGCAGTAACCTATTAAAATTGTTTTCATGGTAGCAAGCACAAAATTAGTCATCGTAGTACAGCGCAACAAAAAACCTCTTTTCTCAACTAATCGAAATTTATTTTATATTTGGTACTTAAAAACAATGTAAGAAAATTTAATGAAATTATCGTGCCAAGTTGATTCTGACTTTTTTTTAAAAAGTATTTTGTTCCATAGGAAATGTTTTACCACCTCTTTGCATTTTGATTCAAGGCCTTTTTCTTGATGGATTGCAAAAATATGAATTTCGAATTTTGTCTTGTCCAGTAGCAAAGATACAAAGTTTCAGATTAGGATATCTTTCGAAGCCAAGTTATTTTCTGTAATTTTCTGTTAAAAAAGAAGCACTAAACACTGCGTTGTCAGTCACTATGGTGCTCTAAAAAGGATAGAAGAATTTTTTCATTCGTAAATAATATTATTCATAAAAATAAGTTAAATTTATTGCTCAGATCTGTTTAATAATTGTTGCTTCAATAATTCAATAGTAAAAAATGGCTCATTTCGCTTCTCGCCAACATATTTTAAGCATATAGGCTTACCTTGAATTCCAAAATTCAATGTCTAAAAATATACACATTTTCGGTTATGTAGCCGTATTGCCCAACACCCGTCTGCAATCTAATATCTCCAGTGGTTATATGTTGAAATACGATGACAATTTCCTTCCCCATTCCGACTAACGCACAAGTGTGAATCAAAAGTCAAGTAGCTATTTTCACTCAGAATTGGACAAGAGTATATTTTGTGATACAAAAAGAAAAATACATCAATCAACATCGATAACTCAATCATTTTCCAGACCAAACATTCAGTAAATATTGATACTTAGTCACAAGCACACTTAACTACTCAAACGTTTTTTTTCCTAAACTATAAATGTTTCATTTATTAAACAAGGCAGCCAATGTTTAATTGAACTTTGTAAAATAAAGTAGAAAATGCAAAATGTTTCTTACAAGCAAACTTCTTTCTTACAACCGACATTGTTTAGCTTTGCCTGGTTTGTGTTCACAACTAACTTTTCTTAGCTTCCCAAATTTGTCAGTGATCAACACTTTGATGAGAGCAGTGCGTGGATATTTCCATGTACCAAATGCATTTATTCTTTCTTGGGGACCTGATAATACAGTATTCACTGCTTGAAATTTCTCATCACCAGACTTATTCCACTCAATAGAATACCATCCATTAAGTTCAAACTCTGCTTTCCATTGGTACGTCAGATCCTGAACAGATTTCATGAGATTAATTGTAATTTCATCGTTTGTTGGGACATTGATTGAGACGTCTGTTGTATCTGTTATCGAAATTGTTGTTGTGTTTCGTGATCCCCAGGAGAAGGACTTTGTTTTAGATATTTCTTTGGAAAATGTGGCCGATACTGGTGTTTTTATAAGTTCCCCACTTGAAATTGATGCAGAAAAACCACGTGTAACTGAAGTAGAGAAACCAAAAGTGGTGATAAACGTAGAGGATTCGGAAATTGTTATTGAAAGACGTTTCTTACAAGTATATTCTTTGTAAAAACCTGAGCAAACAACTGGACGAAAATTAGGAATTGGTTGAAGTTTAACAACACTGAATGGTGTCTTATTTTTCAAGATAAAGTTTTTTGCGTTTAAATTCAAAATTCCCCAATGGGAACCTGACAAAGTTGTACATTGAAAGGTCGAAGCTGTTATTGATTTGTCCCTTGGGTCCATGGAGCATTTCCTCAAATTGCCTCTTTTGTCTCTTAATCTTACTACTAGCCTTTGCCCAATGTAACTACCCATTTTACAGCAGTAGTACTCTTCCAAGCAATACAACTTGTTGCATTTATTTCTGTACAATCCAGTCATGTAATAACCCCATGGGCAATAACTCCATCCTCTTCTGTCAAACGATTTCCAGTTGTTCTTTCTCAAGCAGCGTCCCCATTGTTTTACTTGAGTTTTAGGACGACAACAATAAGCTAATTCAATATTGGACAGTTTATTTCCAGATGATCTGTAGAGCCCAGCCATGTAGTAACCATTATTACAAAATGCCCAACCTCTCCTATCAAATGTCTTATACCAATTATGCGCATAACATTCTCGATCTCCTGATGGGGAATATAGATATCCAGGGGCATCATAACAATCCACTTGTTCAAGTCGGTAAATAGGATCGGACTTGGTTCGTTTATTTCTGTACATTCCAGTCATGTATCTTCCATACCCACACGTTGACCATCCTCTTGAGTTAAAACTTCTCCACCAGTTATCAATATGATGTCGACGAGTAGGTTCTCGAACGAGACCTTTCATATCTCTTCTGTAGGATACGCTCTTCTGCCACTTCACAGACAATCTTTGAAGAACATGTTTTGCTACATCAAAGTCTCCAACAACACTAACAGAATATGCATTACGACCGCCACAGCAATTGCTAGGACCGTGACAAGACGACCATGCATATGATCGACATGATGTTGCACAACGAGAATCTTTTACTCTTTTTCCTTCAGGATATATGTTTCCACAACGGCATAGATGACCTTTCGTCGCTGCAATTATGAATTTGAGATCTTTACATACCTTTTGACATTTGTGGTTGGAATTGAAACGTCCAACGTTTCTTGAAGTGGTTCTTCCTGGAATAGACGAGAAGCATCCATCTACGGCAAATGATGACTCAACTGTAGATGGCATTGTTAAATGCAATAACACAGTCATTATTGCAAATTCTTTAAGTAAGGCCATATTCTAGAAATAGAAAGACATGCACGTATAGAAAATAGTCATTCGTTTAGAGGCGACTTTAACTATCATTGGTACGGTTTATTGAACAAAACATAAGATATAATTATCTACTCCCATTGTCATCGAGGAATTTTAATTTAAGGTTTTTTTTGTAAGGCAAAATGCCGGAATTACTAATTAACACCTTGAGTAAGCATAAGAAATGTACGAATGTTTTTAATGCTCGGTGTGGAATAGTGGGAGAAAAAGGCAAGACAATAAAATTGAAAATTCATACACACCACTGTCAATCAGTAAGTCAGTCAATTAGTGAGTGAGTGAGTCAGTCAATCAGTGAGTGAGTAAGTCAGTCAATCAGTGAGTGAGTAAGTCAGTCAATCAGTGAGTGAGTAAGTCAGTCAATCAGTGAGTGAGTAAGTCAGTCAATCAGTGAGTGAGTAAGTCAGTCAATCAGTGAGTGAGTAAGTCGGTCAATCAGTGAGGAGTAAGTCAGTCAATTAGTGAGTGAGTGAGTCAACGGTCAATCAGTGAGGGAGTAAGTCGGTCAATCAGTGAGTGAGTAAGTCAGTCAATCAGTGAGTGAGTAAGTCAGTCAATCAGTGAGTGAGTAAGTCAGTCAATCAGTGAGTGAGTAAGTCGGTCAATCAGTGAGTGAGTAAGTCGGTCAATCAGTGAGGGAGTAAGTCAGTCAATCAGTGAGGGAGTAAGTCAGTCAATTAGTGAGTGAGTGAGTCAGTCAATCAGTGAGTGAGTGAGTCAGTCAATCAGTGAGTGAGTGAGTCAGTCAATCAGTGAGTGAGTGAGTCAGTAAACCAGTGAGTGAGTGAGTAAGTGAGTAAGTAAGTCAGTCAGTGAGTCAGTCAGTCATTCAGTCAGTCAGTCAGTAAGATGCCCCAGAAATAATGCTGAAAGAAAGTGCGTGCCTTCTCAAAGGAACCGGGACGGGTAAGAATTTTTGCTTTGACTCCCATACATGTCCGCGAGAGAACTATTAAATATAAGTTGGATTATGGTTAATTATTTCTAATTCTATAAAATTCAGAGAACATTCATTTAGGCTTATACTTAATTTTGGGTAAGTGTTGTGTCTAGAAAAAAAAATGGGGTTAGGAAGAGGATTGGGAAAAGATCTGCAGAATACCAGTCTATTCAGAAAGCATTGTGCTTAGTGGATACGCAGATATGCGATGGACAATAAGATGACGTAATCGTATTATAGATGCTTTATTAAACATAAAGATTAGCTATCATAGTGTTGCAATGGATTGAAACGTAATAGCATGAACTTTATTGTGTCCATTATAAAGTGTACGTTGCAATCGACCTGGTCGTGCAACAGGACGAACAGTCCCGTCGATGAACTCCCAGCAGTTGCTAAGAGCTGCACCCTTTTGGTGTATAACTGTGGCAAACTCCTCTAAATTTTCTGGTTGTAACCACGCCTGGTTAAGATCAGTGAGCAAATGATGCCATCGTTCATGAATTACGTTCAGAACTTGATTGGATATCATGCTCAACTGAAGTTCAGGTCTGGCAAATCTATGAATCACATCAACATATCAGCACGGATAAGCAAACCTCTTCAAAAAAATACATAGCCCCTGAATGTTGTCTACTTTTAGTCCATTATAGTATTTTATTACCCCTGGCAATTCCAATATTTCAGGAAGGTTGTAAATATCATTTCGGAAGAAGCGAAATTCTGCTTAACATTCATCATCTGTCATTCGATCTACATCAAAGTCTTTATAACGCCAAAACGGTATCCTAGGGCTTTTGGGTTTAGTTACATCGTATAGCAGAGCAAATTCTTCATCATCTATTGCGTTCAAAGCATGAGCGAACATAGTAATTTCCCTAAGACTTGGCGTATTAAATTTTAATGAATCTGTAATTACACACAAAAGTCTGAGTACATGCAATGGTAAGATTAAATTTAATCGGGAAGCGGCAACGTCAACCGCGCGACCATTCCATTCCCCGGTAGTTGTCGCTGACGTTGCATTCGCTTAAACGTAAGATCTCTTTAGAGTACGCGGATACGCGCGTACACATTTAGCTTTTTTCTAGCATGAAAACATAGCATGAAGAAATGCAGTGACTTCAATTTAAAAATGCAAAATAGCAAACTAATATCACGTTACTTAAATCTTATCCTTATCTTTAAACCCAAGCGAAACATGATTTGAATTCCTCCCTTAACGAAAATTAACTCTAAGCCTGACACTACCACAACTCCTAATCCAAATCCTTAACTCTTACCAAAACAATAATTTGAAATGAGATCGTAACACTTACCAAAACACACGTACCCTTACCATGTAACAAACCCTAACTTAAATTCTATTCATACTCCTGTCCCATAACCTAACCCTAACTTTAAATAATTGTTGTTCTGGAAGAAAATCTTTGATACGCTTGATGATAGTTTAATCTTTTGTATGACATATCGAATTTCTCTTGTTATACGTAGAATTTACAGAATGATGAATGAGGCATAATATATACACTGTGTATTCAAGTCCGCTGAAAATGTGGATTTGCAGTCAACGAATCCGAGTGGATGGATATTATGCAATTTAGCCCATAAAATCCATCTTGTTTCAAACATTTTTCCTTCGAATAATTGGGTAAAACTTCGTCATTTTACCCATTATCATTGAGGTCAATTAAAAGTAAATCTTCTAATAAAAATAACGATCGACAGATTAAAACAAGCAAAATTTCAGGACAGTGCAATTTTCTTGTCGCATTTCGACTTTCTCCTCATAAATCGAATGATCAATGTAAATTTTCAAATGAGGCAAATTTGAAAGCCGTTCAGAACACGTCTTTATGAGTACAGAGACAAATCTTTTTTGACTGGACATCCAGAACCTTTCTTTTTTCCAGTGTATTATCAAACCTTTTTTGAATGCAAAAAATTACTTTGCTACAACAATATTCATATTATCGTTTTGGCATTGACTTCAGAGTTTCCTTTCGCAGATTGGCTCATGTACGTTCGTGGCTTGAACTTTAAAAGACCGTAAATCTTCAATGTAGACCGGCACTATAGTTTATAAGCTTTCGTTTCGATAACTTGATGCAAAATATTAAATTTGTGCTCAAAGCGATCAACTTTAGCAAAGAGCTATAAACGCTATAACTAGTTTTGTAAATATTTGTTTATAGGAGCATTCTACTTAACAACCGTAGATTTAAATCAAATTTCACATACATTACAAATATAATAAATTATAAAACTAATCTGCAAATAACGATGACATGAGCTTAAAATTGATAAAGAATGTATTAGTCAAATAAAAAAGTTACCGTCTCTTTTTTCCGTTAGCTTTGTTCTACTCTGTAAAATTTCTCCACACTTGTTTCAATGTTTTTTTTCTGATCCTTCTGTTACGAATGTTAGAAAAACTGCAGCCTTAAATTAGCAAACAGCTTTGCCTTATACCTCATGCAAAGCATCTAGGGAAGTCTATTTGCAAAAGCAAAGGCAGGAAGCTTACCCAGACAATGATGAATATGTCTAGCGACATTGACGTAAAAACGTCAGTTGTCAGACCAAAATTCTTTTTTAGGTTATAGCTTCAAAGGCTGCCGAATAAATTAAGTTCAAAGCCTATTTAAACATGTTCAAAATATTGTTTAATCCCAATAAAGTTTTTCTAGGACGCCAACTCCTGCTCTTTTTACCACATACTTTTCGATATCTTTAACTTTACTTTCCAATTCCTTGCTCTTGACAAAAATAAAGGGCAAAAAACATCAACTTTATATTGAATTTCAAGTGTTCGACGTCTATAAGTGTTTTCCTGTTTCCCCCCAAACAACGTTGTCAAGGCAAAGTCTTATTTCTCTGTTCAACTGTTATTTGTCATTATATATGTTACCATATGCAACTCATACAGGATAACAAGACCGGCAGTCTATTCTGAGGTCAAATCCCATTGCTTGGCATAACTATTTTAGTATTCTTCAACAAACTCATTTTTTATTAGATATTTAGACTGCAATCAGACACACAAAAGCTCGGATTAATATTTTGTTAATTAATGAACGTAGATTTACTTAATATCACTTAGTATTCGGATGTTGTTTAGGACAAACAATTCCTTGCTCATGATCAAAATGAAGGGCAAAAAAACATCGACTTTATAATAAATTTCAAGTGTTCGGCGTATGTAAGTTTTTTTCTGTTTCCCCCCAAACAATGTTGTCGTAGCAAAGTCTTTATTCTTATTAACTTTACGTTTTCGAATAGCGTCTGTCTTGCCTTTTTTTTAATTTAAGCAAAGATAATGTTGATGCAGATTAATTCCACCATTAAGCTTGTGTTTAACATCAATGTTTTGTAGTACCAGGCATGCATACACATAAAATTTCTCAAAAAGTAATATTTCTCTGTTCAACTGTTATTTGAAATTATGTATGTTACCATATGCAACTCATACAGGATAACAAGACCGGCAGTCTAATCTGAGGTCAAATCCCATTGCTTGGCATAACTATTTTAGTATTCTTCAACAAACTCATTTTTTATTAGCTATTTAGACTGCAAACAGACACACAAAAGCTCTGATTATATTTTGCTAATTAATGAACGTAGACTTACTTAACATCACTAAGTATTCGGATGTTGTTTAGGACAAAACAATTCCTTGCTCATGATCAAAATGAAGGGGAAAAAACATCGACTTTATAATGAATTTCAAGTGTTCGACGTCTGAAAGTGTTTTCCTATTTCCCCCCAAACAATGTTGTTATAGCAAAGTCTTTATTCATATTAACTTTACGTTTTCAAATAGCGTCTGTCTTGCATTTTTTTTAATTTAAGCAAAGATAATGTTGATGTAGGTTAAGTCCACCATTAAGCTTGTGTTTGACATCTATGTTTTGTAGCACCAGGCATGCATACACATAAAATTTCTCAATTAGTAATATTTCTCTGTTCAACTGTTATTTGTCATTATATATGTTACCATATGCAACTCATAGAGGATAACAAGACCGGCAGTCTAATCTGAGGTCAAATCCCATTGCTTGGCATAACTATTTTAGTATTCTTCAACAAACTCATTTTTTATTAGCTATTTAGCCTGCAAACAGACACACAAAAGCTCTGATTATATTTTGCTAATTAATGAACGTAGACTTACTTAACATCACTAAGTATTCGGATGTTGTTTAGGACAAAACAATTCCTTGCTCATGATCAAAATGAAGGGGAAAAAACATCGACTTTATAATGAATTTCAAGTGTTCGACGTCTGAAAGTGTTTTCCTATTTCCCCCCAAACAATGTTGTTATAGCAAAGTCTTTATTCATATTAACTTTACGTTTTCAAATAGCGTCTGTCTTGCATTTTTTTTAATTTAAGCAAAGATAATGTTGATGTAGGTTAAGTCCACCATTAAGCTTGTGTTTAACATCTATGTGTTGTAGCACCAGGCATGCATACACATAAAATTTCTCAAATAGTAATATTTCTCTGTTCAACTGTTATTTGTCATTATATATGTTACCATATGCAACTCATACAGGATAACAAGACCGGCAGTCTAATCTGAGGTCAAATCCCATTGCTTGGCATAACTATTTTAGTATTCTTCAACAAACTCATTTTTTATTAGATATTCAGACTGCAATCAGACACACAAAAGCTCGGATTAATATTTTGTTAATTAATGAACGTAGATTTACTTAATATCACTTAGTATTCGGATGTTGTTTAGGACAAACAATTCCTTGCTCATGATCAAAATGAAGGGCAAAAAAACATCGACTTTATAATAAATTTCAAGTGTTCGACGTATGTAAGTTTTTTTCTTTTTCCCCCCAAACAATGTTGTCGTAGCAAAGTCTTTATTCTTATTAACTTTATGTTTTCGAATAGCGTCTGTCTTGCCTTTTTTTTAATTTAAGCAAAGATAATGTTGATGCAGATTAATTCCACCATTAAGCTTGTGTTTAACATCAATGTTTTGTAGTACCAGGCATGCATACACATAAAATTTCTCAAAAAGTAATATTTCTCTGTTCAACTGTTATTTGAAATTATGTATGTTACCATATGCAACTCATACAGGATAACAAGACCGGCAGTCTAATCTGAGGTCAAATCCCATTGCTTGGCATAACTATTTTAGTATTCTTCAACAAACTCATTTTTTATTAGCTATTTAGACTGCAAACAGACACACAAAAGCTCTGATTATATTTTGCTAATTAATGAACGTAGACTTACTTAACATCACTAAGTATTCGGATGTTGTTTAGGACAAAACAATTCCTTGCTCATGATCAAAATGAAGGGGAAAAAACATCGACTTTATAATGAATTTCAAGTGTTCGACGTCTGAAAGTGTTTTCCTATTTCCCCCCAAACAATGTTGTTATAGCAAAGTCTTTATTCATATTAACTTTACGTTTTCAAATAGCGTCTGTCTTGCATTTTTTTTAATTTAAGCAAAGATAATGTTGATGTAGGTTAAGTCCACCATTAAGCTTGTGTTTGACATCTATGTTTTGTAGCACCAGGCATGCATACACATAAAATTTCTCAATTAGTAATATTTCTCTGTTCAACTGTTATTTGTCATTATATATGTTACCATATGCAACTAATAGAGGATAACAAGACCGGCAGTCTAATCTGAGGTCAAATCCCATTGCTTGGCATAACTATTTTAGTATTCTTCAACAAACTCATTTTTTATTAGCTATTTAGCCTGCAAACAGACACACAAAAGCTCTGATTATATTTTGCTAATTAATGAACGTAGACTTACTTAACATCACTAAGTATTCGGATGTTGTTTAGGACAAAACAATTCCTTGCTCATGATCAAAATGAAGGGGAAAAAACATCGACTTTATAATGAATTTCAAGTGTTCGACGTCTGAAAGTGTTTTCCTATTTCCCCCCAAACAATGTTGTTATAGCAAAGTCTTTATTCATATTAACTTTACGTTTTCAAATAGCGTCTGTCTTGCCTTTTTTTTAATTTAAGCAAAGATAATGTTGATGTAGGTTAAGTCCACCATTAAGCTTGTGTTTAACATCTATGTGTTGTAGCACCAGGCATGCATACACATAAAATTTCTCAAATAGTAATATTTCTCTGTTCAACTGTTATTTGTCATTATATATGCTACCATATGCAACTCATACAGGATAACAAGACCGGCAGTCTAATCTGAGGTCAAATCCCATTGCTTGGCATAACTATTTTAGTATTCTTCAACAAACTCATTTTTTATTAGCTATTTAGACTGCAAACAGACACACAAAAGCTCTGATTATATTTTGCTAATTAATGAACGTAGACTTACTTAACATCACTAAGTATTCGGATGTTGTTTAGGACAAAACAATTCCTTGCTCATGATCAAAATGAAGGGGAAAAAACATCGACTTTATAATGAATTTCAAGTGTTCGACGTCTGAAAGTGTTTTCCTATTTCCCCCCCAAACAATGTTGTTATAGCAAAGTCTTTATTCATATTAACTTTACGTTTTCAAATAGCGTCTGTCTTGCATTTTTTTTAATTTAAGCAAAGATAATGTTGATGTAGGTTAAGTCCACCATTAAGCTTGTGTTTAACATCTATGTTTTGTAGCACCAGGCATGCATACACATAAAATTTCTCAAATAGTAATATTTCTCTGTTCAACTGTTATTTGTCATTATATATGTTACCATATGCAACTAATAGAGGATAACAAGACCGGCAGTCTAATCTGAGGTCAAATCCCATTGCTTGGCATAACTATTTTAGTATTCTTCAACAAACTCATTTTTTATTAGCTATTAAGACTGCAAACAGACACACAAAAGTTCGGATTAATATTTTGTTAATTAATGAACGTAGATTTACTTAACATCACTTAGTATTCGGATGTTGTTTAAGACTAAACAATTCCTTGCTCAGGATCAAAATGAAGGGCAAAAAAACATCGACTTTATAATGAATTTCAAGTGTTCGACGTCTGTAAGTGTTTTCCTATTTCCCCCCAGACAATGTTGTTGTAGCAAAGTCTTTATTCATATTAACTTTACGTTTTCAAATAGCGTCTGTCTTGCCTTTTTTTTAATTTAAGGAAAGATAATGTTGATGCGGATTAATTCTACCATTAAGCTTGTGTTTAACATCTATGTTTTGTAGCACCAGGCATGCATACACATAAAATTTCTCAAATAGTAATATTTCTCTGTTCAACTGTTATTTGTCATTATATATGTTACCATATGCAACTCATACAGGATAACAAGACCGGCAGTCTAATCTGAGGTCAAATCCCATTGCTTGGCATAACTATTTTAGTATTCTTCAACAAACTCATTTTTTATTAGCTATTTAGACTGCAAACAGACACACAAAAGCTCTGATTATATTTTGCTAATTAATGAACGTAGACTTACTTAACATCACTAAGTATTCGGATGTTGTTTAGGACAAAACAATTCCTTGCTCATGATCAAAATGAAGGGGAAAAAACATCGACTTTATAATGAATTTCAAGTGTTCGACGTCTGAAAGTGTTTTCCTATTTCCCCCCAAACAATGTTGTTATAGCAAAGTCTTTATTCATATTAATTTTACGTTTTCAAATAGCGTCTGTCTTGCATTTTTTTAAATTTAAGCAAAGATAATGTTGATGTAGGTT